AAGAAAGACACAGAAAGACAGAATGAATGAATGGATGAATGAAAGAAAGAAAGAAAGAAAGAAAGAAAGAAAGAAAGAAAGAAGAAGGGAGGGAAGAAGAGAAAGAAAGGAAGGAGAGGGAGGAAGCGAAGAAGAAAGAGAGAAAAAGAAAGAGGGAGGAAGGAGAGGAAGGTAGGAAAGAAGAAAGAAAGAGGAAGAAAGAAAGAGAAAGAAAGAAAGAGAAAGAAGGAAAGACAGAATGAATGAAAGAAAGGAGAGGGAGGGAGGGAGGAAGAGAAAGAAAGAAAGAAAGAAGAAGGGAAGAGAAAGAAAGAAAGAAGAGGGAAGAAGGGAAGAAGAAAGAGAAAAAAAGAGAGGGAGGAAGGAGAGGAAGGTAAGAAAGAAGAGAAAGAAAGAAAGAAGGAAAGACAGAATGAATGAAAGAAAGGAGAGGGAGGGAGGGAGGAAGAGAAAGAAAGAAAGAAAGAAAGAAAGAAAGAAAGAAAGAGAAAGGAAGGAAGGAATTCCTGAGGAATTCTGGGACTTGAAGTCCACACGTCTTAAAGGGTTGGAGACCCCTGTAAACCCTAACCCTAACCCTAACCCTTACCAGGCTTGTAGGGCACAGATGGGGTCGATCTCGGTCACGTACACAATGGAGCCCATGGCCTTCAGGGCGGCGCAGCACCCTTTCCCCACCTGGAGCAGGAGAGGAGGAGGGGAAGGTCAGGAGGAGGCTGCCGAGAGAGGGGAGACCGAAGGCAAAAGCAGGCGCAGAGCAGGAAAAAATGACTGAAAAAACACTGGGGAACCGGTTCGGGGGGGCGTGGCCAGCCTGGGTCGCTGCCGGTTCCCTGACCAAGGACAAAATACCACGACCGGTTCGGTTGACCAGATACGAACCGGTAGCGATGCATCTCTGGTCCAGACCAGGCCACCTTCCCCGGAGACGCCTGCAGCAGCTCTCCCACGGGAAAGTCTTGGCGCCGAGACGGACGTCCCTTGCCACCCCGCGAGGAAAAAACTCTCCCACCCTCCCGCTGAGCGTAGCTGGAAAGGTGAAAGGCTCCGGGACTGACCTCTCCGTAGCCGCAGACGACCACCTGTTTCCCTCCAAACATCATATCGGTTGTCCTTTTAAGGCTGGGGAGGAAAAGAGAAATCCGGCAGTTATTCCGGCGGGGATGGATTTCAAGAAAGGCTCAGCGCCCGTCGTCGATGTCCGAATAGGTGAATCACAGTTGCGCCCGCCGGGCGCAGAGCAGAGGTGGAAAGTTTTCCGCGGAGGGTTGTGGAAATCTCGAGCCGCACACTCGTGACAAGCAGAGATTGCAGGATACGAACGGGGCCGAATTCCCCCGTTGAAAGAAAGCTTTCGAAAGAGCGCAAAGGATTTGGGGGGGGGGGGGGGGGAAGGCTGCCTCGAACGGACGCACAAAACATTCTGCGTCCCCCGCCCCTCCCTCCGTCTCTTTACGGACTGCAGGATGAACTGAAACGGTCAGTCTGGTCGCTGCAGTGGGATGCCTGCATGGTCCTGAAGGAGAAGAATCTGGTTTCTAGGGGTGAGCAAACCCCACTCTCCTTCAAGCACTGATGACGTTCCCTAGTTGGGTCATGAGACGTCTGCAACAACTGAGCTCAAACAGCACCAAGGAGCACCCAGTCCTTTCTCTTCCTCCTCCTTTCTTCGTCCCCTTCATTCCTTTTCCTTTCTTCCTCCTCCCTTCCTCCTTCTCCATCTCCTGTTCCTCCACTCCACAGCCCCGTGTCCTTTCTAACATTGATGATGTTCCCTAGTTGGGTCACGAGACATCTGCAACAACTGAGCTCAAACAGCACCAAGGAGCACCCAGTCCTTTCTCTTCCTCCTCCTTTCTTCGTCCCCTTCATTCCTTTTCCTTTCTTCCTCCTCCCTTCCTCCTTCTCCATCTCCTGTTCCTCCACTCCACAGCCCCGTGTCCTTTCTAACATTGATGATGTTCCCTAGTTGGGTCATGAGACGTCTGCAAGGAAACCACCAAGCTCAGAGAGCACCAAGGACCCCCCACAGTCCCTTTCTCCCTCCCTCACTCTGCAAATACCACTCCTGTCTATCACTGACAATGTTATCTAGTTGGGTCATGAGATGTCTGCAAGGAAGCCACCAAGTTCAAAGACCACCAAGGATTCCCACAGTCCTCCCTCCCTCCCTCAGCCTCCTTCCATCCCTCCTTCTCTCCTTCCTCCTCTCTGCAAACCCCACTCCCTCCTAGCACTGATGAAGTTCCCTAGTTGGGTAATGAAACGTCCATAAGGAAACCACCAAGCTCAGAGAGCACCAAGGGCCCCACAGACTTCTTCCTCCTTCTTCTTCTCCTCAACCTCTCCTTCAAGCCCTGATGATGTTCCCTAGTTGGGTAATGAAACGTCC